CATGTCTATTGAAACAGCGAGTAATTATTCATTACGGTTTTTGTACAAAACAGTTAGCACGCTATTCTTAGGTTACATGTCACGGTTCTTAGTCCAACTGAATCATATAAATATAAATAGAAATAAATAGCCTTCAACCAGACCTCCTTTTGGGTGAAATAAAATGGAGAAAACAGCAGCCCTTTCTGAGTTGCTTGTCTGTTTTTCTCAGTACATGGTCTTCCATGTAGAATTTCCAACCATAGAGTTTCGAGTTTGCCAAGGGCTTGTACACACGGCTGCACGTCAAGTTACCACAATATGTAAAATTTCTCCTTTAACCTGACGTGCTATTAAATGTACTTATACAATATGATCAATATTCTAATTTAAAATCATTAATTCGGTCTAGACTATCCTATTAAAAGAATTTATACAATTCACTTAGGTATACCTAAGGTGCGAAAAACGCTAACTTATAAAAAATAGAGAAGTTAAAATTTACTGAAGTACATATTTTAAATTATAAATTCTAAAGAAATAATACAGAAGATATTTTATAAAACTGATATCTATTTACTGATTTATGCAATCGATCCATAATCCCATCAAATTGCCAATGCGGCTGGATGCCATTATTGGTGACATAATTGAGTTCAAAATTCAGTACCGTTTACAAAAAAACACTGGTTGACTATTCTCTTATTGAGTTGGGTTGTTGTTAAGATTTTTTATGTTTTGTTGTTTTCAATTTTTATTGTTAAGTTTTGTTGTATTTTATTAAGGTAAACTAAAACAGCTTTTATGATTTTCACAACAAGTTGAGATTTCGTTTTCCTAATTTTTAGGAAGTATTCCTAATTTCACTTAAAATAAACATATCCAATGTGTCTCATTCGTTATTACTTTTTGCTTTGTTACTCTCTATTTTTAATGACGTCACGAGACAATATTCCAGCGTATTAGAAATTTACGGGACTTCTAGTAAAACATATAAACTGTCTTTATATATGAAAACATTTTTTTTATCAGTTAGAATCCATGCCATCTCGGCATCTCTATCGTTATGCTATTTAAAACATTAACGAAGTTGAAAAATAAAAAGAATTAATAAATACATTAGCAATGTATTTAATGCATGTCATGTTACGGCCACGCCATTGCGTCATGGGGGACCTTGAACCGAGGAAAAGCAGTCCTAATGATGGCAAGGGCTATATTTATGGCCAAGTGGCTTGCCACGCAGGTTCCAAGAGTTCTATCTCTGAAGCCTCGATTCCCGGTCGGATCTATGTAGGTAATGAATTTTCCATATTGTCCTGTGTCTGAGTGTTACCTTCCTTGTTTCAGATTTCCATAATGTAAATGCTTTATCTACTTTAATTGGGTCCTGCTTTGTCTAGTGATATTGTAATATAAAAAGATAAAAATAGTTTAAAATGTAAAAAAAAAATATTATGTTCTTATTCGCTTTAAAATAATTTGTTTGACTGGGAACACAGAAATACTAGATTTATTTCTGTGACTGGGTATCATCTTTGCCCTAACGCGTACGGTTTTAATAACGCCACAAATATTTGTATTGTTTTTAAATACAGATTATTAGTGTTCACTTCTGATTGGAATATTGAAATATTTTATTGTATAACATATATAAGTTGGTTACTTTAAACTTGGCATAAGGGCAATATTACATTTCAACAATAACCTTATCCATACCGATAGAAATATCATTGTATAGTTTTTCTTATTAGAAAAATAATAACAAAATAGTCATCTTCTCAACGAATAAATTCTCAAAGATAGTAGGCCATCTTGGATGCACTTCCATATGAAAAGAATGCACATATTTTATAATTTTCGTATTCTTCTTAACCAAACCTCAAATTTGATAAACAAATGACGTTGCGTAAAAATTAAATAAGCGTCCATCTTGGGCAGGGTACCATATTAGATTTAAAATGAGGTTATCTTACATTACTATCCAAACCAAATCTATATGCAAAATTTTATAAAATATATGACAAATATACATATTAAATAAAAGCTTGATAAAAAAAATTGTAAAATCTACTATGTTTGGTGAAAGCAATGCCAAACTATGCAAGCACGGTTACATATTTGGTGTCATCGATTTATCATCATTTAATATGGAATATTTTCAACATAAGATAAAAAAGACATTTTATAGTAAACTCGCTATTTAGACAGCTCCATAAATGATGGAGGTCATTTTATATATTTTTAGAGACTGCAAATTCTATTTTTAGCCAACATTAAATTTGTTACACAATTACATAAAAAAGTATGATCACGCCAATATCCTTCAACATTAATAATATGTTTACGACCCCGGCGCCTAGTATGCACGCCGATTTCAAACTGTCGTCGCCATCTCTGAGTTGTATGTCTGGTGTTATAAATGTTCTATAGAACTGAATAAGAATAAAATGACAATTGTAACTGTGTAATATGTGGGGAAAATAAATTATTATTATTATATTATAGTAAACCATATTATATACTTCCTAAAACTTCTTATTGTAAACAATTAGCTGTTTGAAACCAATAATCCACGACTGAACTCATATATTTTTCCTGGACCTCGGGTTATTATTTATTTATTTATTTAACAAACTTTATTGACCGTTCAATTGGTACAAAAGGCGGACTTAATGCTAATAGCATTCTCTACCAATACATAATGGTGGCATAAAGTTAACTAATAAACATACTACTTAAACTATACTACAGATGAATTTATATACAATTATATAAACATAAATAAATATTTTAGCTACACATAAACATAAAAACATATATAAATACATAAATATAATACATATTAGATGATGATCTGTTTGACAAATATCAGGATTTCCTTGACTAATGATTCCCACGCATTGCTTGACATCCTGACATCTTGTCGACCATAATATTAATTTATCAGCTCATTTCTGCGTCGTTTGTCGATGTGAAAAGTTCCAAACATCAAATCGTAAGACAATTTACACGTGTTTACTTTCATGGAAAAAATATCACAACCTATAAAAGATAGCGAGATAATTCCTCAGCATATTTATTTAAATAATCAAATCAAAATCATTCATTCAGTCTAAACTCTTACAAGCACTTGTGAAAATCGAAACTCTATGCCATCTCTATGTTACAAGGGACTCTGAGAATCACTTTTTAAAAAAAGATTTTAAGCCCTTAACATAATTTATTTAACGAGACCGATTCCGAAGGTGGTTGCGCAGCGACTGACTGGCCTACCGTTCTATGCAATGTCGTCACAGCACGATTGCTCAGTCAGCAGATTTGGGCAACCTCCTCAGCACAAACCCTTACATATTATATATATAACAACCCCCCCTTTAAGAGGAAACTTACCCCAAAAGAATGAAATTAAGAAAATGTAAGTTTCTGTGACAATTGTACACGTAATCGAGGAGCAGAAATTGCGACGGGGTTATCTGAGTTTTCATCTATGGATGTGGTACTTCAGGGTTTCTACTGAGGCGTTTACATAATTTGCATTTAATACAGAAATAGAAAATAATACAAATAACTATAATAATACTAAAAATATTTAAAACAGTAAAAGCGACATGATCATTAATAGATGGATTTTCCAAAACTAGATCTTGAGATATCTGGTTAGTGACTGATTTGTGATCATTTAGACTGTCTAGATTTACACTTTTTATTTTAGAAATAGGAATTTTAGGACTAATTTCCTTAAAACGGTGAAAGTTACAACAACTATCGTTAATAATGTTAAAATCTGTTATAATGTTAGGGATATTTAACTTTGGATAATCTTTGGTTACAAATTTAATGTTTTTATAGAATGCTACACACTTAGTTGGAATATTCAGTACACCTGTACCAGATATGACATTCTCAGAGACAGCATCGTTACATTCAATGGATAATTTAGTGGGTTTTGACTGAACAAAAATCCATTTATTATCATTTAACCTATGCCAAATATCCACATCACGGCACATCGGCTATGAATTTAAATGCACAAGTTTCAGGAATAGAAGTTAAGGTTTTCGTTATAATTTCAATTTCGCAAGATGGATTATTTAGAACGGCGTAAATGTTGGTGGTTTCACAAAGGTAAGTTTTGGTAAGTATTATATATTTTTACAATTATTTAAATCTTTAAGGTAAGTATATGATAATTTATCTTTCGAAATTGCTAAAAATTGTTCCACGGGAATTATTAAAGCAAATGAATTTAACTTTCCGTCTGTGTGTGGAGTTGGCAGAGGTATATTCTTATATATATTATACTGTTGCAGATTTACTAAAGGAAGTTTGACAATGAACATTAACCTATTACTTATATAATAACAAGTTAAATCAGCTGTGTTAATTAACATGTGAATATTGCTTAAATCTAAATTTACTGGAAAATCTCTATATTTAGGTAAAATCTTTAAATTGCTTACTAGATCGTTATACATTTGACTCGGAGTTAAAATAGAAGGGTGTAATGTATTACTTTTGACAAATAAAATGGAATTTAAAAGATCTTCAATCTTAAAAGAAATGGTAAGCAAATTGGCTTGTAAACATTTAAAATATTATTAAATCTAACCTTAAAACTAATTACATTTACAACACTGGATACATTTTTAACGGAAAATGATAAACTGTCTATAACATCGGATAATTTCGCTTCATTCATGTTCATTTCGTGAATGGATTGGTTTATATTGGAAATAGCAGACTGCGATACCATTATAGCTTTTTTCATTGAGGCACTTAACTTTTCGTCGTTTTTGTAAAGAATTTGAATAGCGTTTTCATAATTTTTAGCGTCGTCCTCGTCCAGTGTACCAAATATATGTTTGAATACAACACCTATTCCTCCGAACCAGGATCTTTTAGATATGCTATTGGACATTATATGAGAGATGGATTTGAAGTCTCGTGTGATATCTACATAAAGAGCTTCTAAAGGTTGTAAGAGGTTCTGACATTGTTCGTGATCTATTTCATTATTTTCACGACATTACATTATACCGAATAGACCGAATGATGTTAAATACGTCATGAATATTTTCTATATGTTTTTCGAGCGGGGATACATCAACAGGGACGACGATATGGAATTCATCATTTACGATTCTAAGTGTACCGACAGGGTCAAAAAGTATGCCAGGGCTCTTAGTGATGTAGTCGATATATTGACCTTCACATCTGGCCACGGTGATTCTGTAAACGGATTAAAATATAAGATATGTAGAGTAAAATTTATAAGATGTAAAGTTGTAAATGTAAACTATTTCTTAAGACTAAAATAAGTACAAAATGGTATATAAAAAAAAAGAAAAATAATGTATAGTTTTGAGTGTATAATATGAATGTTGACTTAAAATAATAAAAAGAATATAAATTTGACAATATCTTAATGGATGTCAGAAGCCGGTTTAATTTCATCATAGTGATGTTTTACGTATCTTCTATTGATAAGCAGAGAAAGCGTATTGTTCCCATGGATTTTTACAATTTTATAAGGACCTTTCCATATTGGAGAGAGGGCTTTCCTTAATCTTACATGATTTTTTAAATAAACATAATCTCCTACTTTATATTGGATGGGTCGTGAATGTTTGTCATAGTAAGTTTTCGACCGTTCTTTAGAAGAGTTAATATTCTCTATGGCCTTTTCGCGAGATATTTTAAGACGATGTTGGAGCATTTTGATATATTCTGGATAAGTCATATCGGAGTTTTGGTTGAAAATGGAATCTGGGATATAAGGTTTATGTCCAAAAAGAAGTTCGTAAGGAGTAAATTTTGTAGTGGTGTGCACACTGCTATTATAAGTAAGCATGGCGGTGTACACGTATTTGTGCCAATCGGTTTGATTCTCGTTGACATACGACTTAAGGTATTCCTTTAATGTGGAATGACTACGCTCTAAGGCGCCTTGAGTTTGCGGATGGTAGGGTGATGACCAGATTTGTTTGATCTTTAGAAATTCGCAGGTTCGTTTAAATAGGTCTGCGGTGAAATTAGTGCCTTGGTCTCTTAAGATTGATTTGGGAATGCCAAATAATGAAATGAAATGCACTAAACACTCACAAGTTTCTTCTGCTGTTGAGTTTGAAATTGGATAAGCAATTGAGAATTTAGTAAGGTCATCCTGGAGAGTAAGAATAAATTTTAGTTTGAGAAGACCAGCTTCGGGTAAAGGACCGACTATATCGAGATTAATTCTTTCGAAGGGACGAGTGGAGGTGGTAATTATTTGCATTGGGGATCGGTTAATTTTCCTTAATGCTTTATTAGACTGACATAATTTACAATTTTTTACATATGTTTCGATATCAGTTCTCATATTTTTCCAGTAATACCTTTCTTTTATTCTGCTGTACATTCTTTGAGAACCGAGATGACCAGCAATAGGAATGTCGTGATTTTCTTTTAAGATCTTTGCAATTTCAGTGGGAACTGGATAAATAATAGAATTATGATGAATATTAATAGTTATATTAGTGTTTTTCAATAGATACATGAGCATACCATAAATTTTTACAAGCGAATGTTGTTCAAAAAGATTTTTAAAGTCAGATATAGCAATATTATTGATATTACCGGCGAGTAGGATATCATCTCGAGCAGCTTTAAGAGTTTTGAATATTTCTGGGTAAGTGCTTGCATCAAAATAATATACTTTAGTAAACAGAAGATAGTAGGTTTTTCCTTTTGCTGTAACTTTCTTAATAGAATGGAGTTCTCTTTCAGAATTAAGAACGTCTTCGGAGCTATCGGCTTCAGCAAGGATGTCTTGTAGGTAAGGATTAGATTCGTCTAAATCAATTGATACAGGGACTAGGATTGTTTTACAGTTACTCTTAAGAAGGGATTCGTTGTGCTCTTGGATATAGGTATTGTATGACTCATCTTTTTTATTGAATGATTTTAGAAATGTGTTATAGTCTGTGTTAGAATAAGGATTTGTAATGTTATCTGTTGTTTCAGGTGTTCGAGTAGAGACTGGTGGATTGGAGATTTCTACAGGAGAGGTGCTCGTATTAGGAGGAGGATCAGATGTAGGATTACTTTTTCCAGGGCTGTATGCAGATAAGGATAGTTCTTCATCGTCAAGTAATTTTAAAGAAGGTAAGTTGCTGTTGGATCCAAGGAGACTAGAAGGAATTTCGAGGTCTCCTAGGGTTATAGGGCTGAAGGCCTGAGATTCATCGGAATTTACAACAGGATTTTCATTTTCAGGGACGTCTGATCGTGAGGTTGGACTTTCGTGGGATTCTGTAGGATTATCATTTTGAGGTAGGATAGGATTGACAGGATATCGTGATAGAGCGTCGGCGTTGCTATTGATTTTGCCTTTTTTGTATTCAATTTCGTAATCAAATTCTTCTAGTTTAAGTCTCCATCTTATGAGTTTGGAGCCAGGATCTTTGTGATTGAAGAGCCATTTGAGTGGGCGATGATCTGTCACTATTGTAAAACGTCGGCCATACAAATAGGGTCGGAAGGTTTTTGTACCGAAGAGTATCGCGAGGCATTCTTTTCTGTCGTACTGTAGTTACTTTCTGCTTTATTAAGAGTTCTCAAAGCATATGCAATGGGTTGGTCGTTACCTATTGGACCTTGGGATAGGATAGCAGAGATAGCGAAATTGGATGCGTCACATGTTAAGACAAATGGTTTGGTGAAATCAGGATATTTGAGTAGAGGGGCAGAAGTTAGACAATCCTTTAGTTGTTCGAAAGCTAATTGATGTTCATTTTGCCAGTTGAATTGGACATCTTTCTTTAGAAGGTTGGTCAATGGTTTAGCAATTTTAGATAAATTGGGTATAAAACGTCGGTAATAGGATACTAGACCCATGAATGATTTAATGTCTTTTGGGCATTTAGGTTCTGGAAATTGTTGTACGGCTTTAATTTTTTCTGGATTTGGCTTGACGCCTTTATCGGTAATGATATGTCCAAGATAGGATACTTCCTTGCGGAGAAATTCACACTTATCGGGTTGAAGCTTTAGATTGAAATGCCGGAGTCTATCGAATATATTGGAAAGAGATTTAATATGGGATGGAAGATCATAGGAGTAGATGACCACGTCATCTAAGTAGACATAGCATTGTAGACCTTGTAAGCCTGAGAGAGCGGAATTCATCAATCGCTGGAAAGTAGAAGGAGCATTCTTTAAACCGAAGGGCATGTGAGTAAATTCGAAGTGTCCTTGAGGAACGGAGAAGGCTGTCTTGGGAGAATCACGTTCTGACATCTTAATTTGGTGGAACCCAGAAGCGAGATCAAGAGTACTAAAATATTTGCTTTTACCTAATTGGTCTAGGATTTCACTGATATTTGGAATAGGATAAGAATCGCCTATGGTGATGTCATTGAGTTTGCGATAGTCGATTCCGACTCTCCATTTTCGTTGGCCAGAAGCATCTGTTTTCTTTGGGACGACCCATATGGGAGACGACCACGGAGATGTCAAAGGTTTGATGATTCCATCATCAAGCATTTTATCGATTTGTTTTTGGACTTCTTTTTTATGAATTTCGGGAAACCTATAGGATTTTGTATTGATTGGGTCTGAAGAGGTAGTATTTATTTCATGTTCAATGGCTTCGGTATGAGTCAATTTGTCATTAGGAAGATGGAATATATCTGAAAAATTGGAGCAGAGATCGTAAATGGCATCTGTTTCTTCACGATTTAAGTGAGAGACTCGAAGGAGGTCGATTACTTGTTGAGTGCGGTCCAGCACACTCATGGAATGATTTGATTTATCATTAAGATGAGTAGTATGAAAGATTTGGTAACTGTTATCATGTTTTAATGGAGATATTTTTAGTTTTAAATCAGAACTCACTGTCAAAGGAGATTCGGAAGTGTTTACTACAGTAATGTTTATTCGTTTATTTGATTTGACTTTTGGCTATTAGCAAAGATTTGACAGGGTTTTGATCAATTATAAGACCTTCTCTTATTTCAGGGTTTTGAACAGAGCATTCGATGATCGTTTCAGTACGAGGTGCAATAACATAAATTGGTTCAGTGAATTTAAGGGGCATTGCGATTTTGTTTATCGTTAGACTATCATTGGCAAAGTCTATATTGCTAGAGGATTTCGATAGGATATCGTTACCTATAATACCATCATATGGAAATTTTAAATGACCTACGAGATGAAATTTATTAGTTAAAGATTTAAATGTCACTGGAATGGTACCTAAGGATATCATGGGATTGTCTTCGTTGCCAAGTCCGGTGAAGGTAACATATTCGCTCCAAGTTATATTAGGCATTTTTTTGACTGAGCATTCTTTTATTATGCTTATAGCAGCACCAGTATCAACTAGGAATGTCAAAGGCTCTTTGGAGACTGACGTTTGGACTTTAATAAAAGGTAAGTGCCTTTTTGATGGGTTTGTAGTAATATTATATATTTTTGTTTTTTCTTTTTCAGGAGCAGAGGAAGAAGAAGTTACAGAGTCTATGACGGGATTACTTGGATTAAATTTTTATTGTTAGTAAGTACTGAGCGAGGTTTTTCAGATCTAAGGTTCGACGAGGATATAGTAGTAGTAGGTTGGAGTTCTGACCTCTTATGATTTTCTTTCTTTTCAGGATACAATGAGAATTCGGCAGGTCTATGAATTTGGGGCTGGTTACCCGGTTTGTTAGACTGCATGGATACAGAGATAGTATGTCTATGAGTTTGGGGCTGGTTACCCTGTTTGTTAGACTGCTTAGATACAGTGAAGGCATGTCTATAAGTTTGGGGCTGGTTACCCTGTTTGTTAGACTGTTTGGATACAGAGAAGGCATGTCTATAAGTTTGGGGCTGGTTACCCTGTTTGTTAGACTGCTTGGATACAGAGAAGGCATGTCTATAAGTTTGGGGCTGGTTACCCTGTTTGTTAGACAGCATGTTTGACTTTAAAATGGCTGATCTAGAAGTTTGGGGCTGGATATCCTGTTTGTTAGATCGCGAATTTGATTCTATAATGACTGATCTAGAAGTTTGGGGCTGGATACCCTGTTTGTTAGATCGCGGATTTGAATTTATCGGATTCGGTGATTCTGATGTGGTATCGACTTTCGTTTTCTTCTCTCCCGCACGATACCAGACGAGAGAGCCATTTAGTTTAAATTGTTGTTATCGGTTTCGTCGATACCTTCGTCATCATGAGAATTTACAGCATGGATAGGCTGACGCTTCTGAAAATATGTATTAGGATTTTCACGAATAGGTTGATTAAATTGAGAGAAACGCCTATTATTATATTCGCGTTTGCGACAATTTTCGATATTGTGTCCCGTAATCTTACAATATCGGCACACGGAACTAGGACTGGACGCGAATGAATGTTTTGGTAGATAATCTGACGGACGGTTAGGTTGTCGCGGGAATGGCCTATTATTTTGTTGACGAGGACGGGCATAATTTTGGAAATGGTTAGGGTTACGGCGCGTCGTGGCTAAAAGGATCTTTTCTTCTGAAACCGCGAAGTTAATTGCCTCATTCAATGTTTCTGGATCGCGACATCTGACTACCGTTGAAAGTTGAGAATTAAGACCGATAATAAATGTATGTAGAGCGAGATCTTGCATAGCAGCGACACGACCGGCCAGTTCACCTTTTTTCTTTGTTGGAATAGAGATATTTATTTCTGTTAGTAATTTCGATAGGCATGACTCAATACTTAATGCAAACTGGTTGGCCGTTTCACCTGATAATTGTCTGCACTCTTGCAATTCAGAGAGCAGGGCAGCATAGTGCTTGCGTTCACCATATTGGGATTTTAAAAAGCTTTCAAGTTGGTTCCAGTTTTCAAATTCTTTTATCGAGCAGGCACTCTCTGCTCGGCCTTCCAGTTGGCTTAGAATATATTTAAGTAAAATGTCTTCCTGAGACGAGGAAGCTAGGTTAATTGCGTTACGACAATTGTTAAGGAATGCATTTAGTTTTTCTCTACTTCCGTCGTATTTGTTTATGAATTTGATTAAAATATTTAAACCTATTTGTGACATTGTGGTGAGAGTGGGCGTTGGTGCTTTCGATGGCCCAGGTTCCTCTTTACTATCTTTAGGCATTCAGAAAAATTCCGTTCACAAATAGAGTTAAATGATTACACAGAATATGCAACAAAGTAACAATTATAATACAAGGTAGAATAAAAATAAAAGAATAAAACAAAAGAGTCTGTGTGGAACAATGACTTGACTTACAGCAACAATGTTGCGGCTACGGCGACGACGGGATGCCTTGATTGCATTCTTGTGCGATAAGAATATTTCACGGAATAATTCACTAATATGATTCTATTTTTAGAATTGAATTAAGCACTTTCACAGATTTTAACACTATTTTCTTAGATTTTCGCACTTTTCACAAGATTCGGTTTTCTTTTACAGGATACAACGATTTTCTTTTCAGGATTCAGCGGACTTCGCAGGATGATAGAAATTTTCTTTTCAGGACTTCCACCTTTCTTCTACAGGATACGGTGATTTTCTCTTCAGGATTCAGTGGATTTCACAGGATAATTGAATTTTCTTTTCAGGATTTCCACTTTTCTTCTACTGGATACAGTGATTTCTTTTACAGGATTCAGTGGATTTCACAGGATAATTGAATTTTCTTTTCAGGATTTCCACTTTTCTTCTACTGGATACAGTGATTTCTTTTACAGGATTCAGTGGACCACTTTTGTCCACCTTTATAGTGAGTCGAGCGCGCCACGGAATTTGATATATATTCACAATTTAAAATTCACTTAGGAGACGGTACCGGGGATGGATGTTTCATCCCTTTACGCTGCCACCAATGTTACAAGGGACTCTAAAATCCTTTTTAAAAAGTGATTCTCAGAGTCCCTTGTAACAGTTTCTTAAAATAACATTTACGGCGGGAAATCTAGTACCGAGAACCGGCAAGAAACTCGGCTAGGGCTGCTTTTTCTCCTCGTTTTAATTAATACGACAACTGTCAAGATTTTAAAATGACTTCATTAGATTATGAAATCACTTTCAACCCAATATTAGTAATATAGATATTAAAATGATAAATAATTGAATGAATGTAAATACATGAACGTAATAAAACAAAATGGACAAGTAAGTAGTCTAGAGCGAACTCATCTCCACTAGCAGCACCCGTTTATGAGTATGATCCATTGGCCAGCCATTGCTTCACTCAACCATATTGTAGGGCATATAACGGCCCGACTCACACGTAACCACCTCATAGACTTTAAAGAGAGCAAGACATATTCTAGGCACCCATATATTTTAAAGGAGATAGTAAAGCTTTTAATACATTACACAAAAGATGGAATATTTTCCGTGGTCGTCCTCTTGCTCTCCATTCATAGACATTCATCTCCATTATTCTCTTATTTTTATTCATTTCAGTCTAGTCTTTCTCATAACATGTCCAAGCCAAACGCTTTGCTTTCAGTTTTTCTGTCACTGGTGCCACTTTCAAACTCCCTCTTGTATACTCTTACTCTTACTTTATCCATACTCCACACATTCTCGTCTCCGCTACATGTACAAACATTCTGATCCATACATACTATACAATAGGACTACATAATAGGAAATATTATTGTCCTAAATTAAATAATAGTTCAATATTGAAATTTATATGAATAATATTAATTTCTGTAAAGAAACTTTTACAGAATATATAGAATGAAAATTGTTTGTAGAAAAAAATATTAGCCGGCAATTAAATGAATAAAACAACTGAAATTAAAACACTGATTTTATAAGTACTTTCTTTTTCATTTAACAAATACCAAAATAATGAGATTATGTGAATTGAATATCGAAATCTCGTTTCTAAATTTTCTATGTGTAAATTATGATTTCATTTAAGTTTATTGCAAAATATATCGTATATGCTCCTTCATGCATTTCTACGCAAAACAAAAATTTAATTATAAACTCTACAACAAGGGAAAATTGAAAATTAACAATCCTTCTCAAATGTAGTCAATGTTGCAAAATGTATTGTATGGGATTGGGCGAAGGCTTTACTTCTCTGAAAAGCATTGCGCGATTTCGGACGTTAAAAAAACTAAACGGTTAAGTTTACGTAAGATTTTTATGTAATAGCGTAAAAACTTATTCTAAAGGTATGGAAAGACCTTAATTTAAAATACAAATGTTGTTAAGAATGTCAAATAAGGTGATAATGAAAATTGTGTTTTGCAACTCACAACAATTCACAAACTATGCTAGTACTGTCAACCATCGACAATAATAATAATAATAATAATAATAATTTTTTATTTGCCTTAAACATGGTATAAAGGTGTTAAAATTGTACAAAATCCTCATGTTTCGCCATTTTCAAATAGCATGCAAATCATTATAATGGAATCTAATGCAGTCACAATTATTACAATAAAATTATTTAATTCTTATTATGTTGAAATTACATGTCATGTTAAAAAAAAAAGTCAATGTAATATTCTAATTCCTTTTGTTCAAAAATTCGCTAATACTATAAAAATTATTACAATTTAGCCAGGCATATAATTTTCTTTTAAACAATCCAGGCGTTAAAGACTTCAGTTCATGTGGAATTTTATTATATACTTTAACGCACATAGCCAAACAACTTCTCACATACTTATCCGATTTTGGAATTACATTTAATATAAGTCTATCAGGGTCTCGACGTTGTCTAAATTTTTGAATGTCCTTAACTTTTTTGAATAAATGATTGTATTTCCTCACAAAGGTACACACTTCCAGAATATAAAATGATGATAGCGGTAATAAACCAAGTTGCTTAAATGACTCCCGACATGATTCATCAGGTGGAATTCCACAGATCGCCCTGATACATTTTTTTTGAGTTATGAAGGCTCTGTGATAGTCTGTGCCGTTACCCCATATTACAAGACCATAACGTAATATCGATTCCACGTAAGCCCGATAACATATAACAGCAGTTTTTTTATTTGTTACTTTTACAACTTGACCCAGTGCATAAGCAAATTTGTTTATCCTGTTACATGTTTTGTCGACATGTTGTTTCCAATTCAAATTTTCATCTATAGTAATACCTAAGAATTGTGTATGTGGTACTTGTTTGATTTTATTAATATTAAGTTTAAAATTATATTTAATATGTTTTGATTTATTGAATTGAACAAAAACTGATTTCTTTAAATTTATTGTCAAATTGTTGTTTTCTAGCCATTCTATTACCTTGTCAACAGTATTATTTATGTCAAATTCATGATTCAGTATCGAATTATTATTTACTTTATTTGATGTCACTATTATTGAAATGTCGTCAGCATACAGAATGCATTTATGGTTTGTCACGTTAATGAAGTCATTAATATATAGTAAAAACAAAATTGGTCCCAAAATACTTCCTTGGGGAACGCCCTTTTCAGTTTCGCGATAATTTGATGAATATGAGATCATCTCACCATTTACTATTCTATCAATAGTGACGGATTGCTTTCTGTTTGACAGGTATGACTCAATCCATAGATATGCCACACCTCTTATACCAATCGAGTCTAATTTTTTTAACAATAACTTATGGGAAACAAAATCGAATGCCTTAGATAAATCAAAGAATAAGCCTGTCGTAAGGCAGTTATTATTTAAGTTCGTCAATATAGTATCCAAAAGCGTAAAAGAGGCCAATGTGGTTGACTTACCACTTTGAAACCCAAATTGTTCATTATTAATTATATCAAATTTATCACAGAAGTCTACTAGTCTTCTGTACATGCATTTTTCAAAGATCTTCGAAAATATGGTAATAATAGTAATAGGGCGATAGTTGTTAATGTCATCTTTATCACCCTTTTTGTAAAGTGGTTTTACTACTGACAATTTTAATGCATCCGGAAAAATCCCAAACTGAAAGGATAAATTTACCAAATGTGTCAA